AAATAATCAGATAGATAAAATGCAACAAAGCTATTGATGGAATAAAACATTGAATTAAAGATTCTGAACTTTACAATTTTTCTGAAATTTTTGGTACCAATCATGTTTATTTTTATTTATTTATTTATTGTTGGCTGGCTGGTACAGGGATCCCAACTCTTGACATTAGTGTTATCAGCACCATGCCCTACTGGGTGAGCTAACTAGCCAGTCTATTTGCATTTTATTTTAACAAAGCTTTTCCTGTTAACTCACTTTTCAAATCTTTAATAGATAAAAATTATAATTATATGATCTTTTCAAGTAAAAGGGAGAAAATTTCTATCTCTTCATGTAGTTCATCTTCCTACTAATTACACAGTGCTGTTTACAAACAGAAGGGATATTTGCTATGCTGATAATCAGAAAGACTTATTTCATTTACTTAGTATTTAATACTGGTCTAATGTGATGTTGGGAAAAATAACTGTTTTACCCAATATTCTCATGCAAAAGGCATGTAATCCCACACCAAGGGACTTCTCTTCAGGCTTGATACACCTAAAAAATAAATAAATTTATAAATATAAAGAAGAGATTTTAAAAGAAAAAGAAATCATAGTTTCTTAAAAGGACTGTTTGTATGCGAGTAACACACTGAGCATTAGAACATTTACTTGCACACTCAGGTCTCGGTTATTCTGGGCCTGATTATCCAGCTTTTAGCCTACATGAGAGCCGCATTTTTCATTATTGACATTTTACCCATCACTTTTTGTTCATTCATTTTCTATCAGAAAGTTAGCAAAGAAAAAAATATTTTATATCAATCTCTTTCTATACCAGTATCCTCCTACCAACTGTAGGAGATCTTGATCTTAATAACTAACCCTTTAGCCTAAAGCAGGAACAATGCATCCCTGGCAATGTTCAAATTATTTGTATTAATGAAATGTACAAAAGCTAAGAATTTTCCTAAGTAAGTGTAAGGGGAAAAAAAGCAAGGATAAAATTGTTCAAAAGCAAGAGATGAAAAAAATCCAAAACAAACCTCTTTTAAAATGATTTGGTTTAATTTTGAAAGTTGCACAAATATTCTTCCATTCTCTCCAAAATTTCCCCACCTTTTCACTGTTGCCTGAAATTTCTATAAATGGAAATGAGGACTATAATATTCCAATGGTGCTTTTTGGTGTCTCACTCACTTCAGAATCAGCATGGTGACTGCTCAAAAAAATTCACTTTAAGAACTGTTATGTGCTCCCTGCCTTTCCTTGATGAACTCAAATCTGAGGAAATAGCAGCTTTCTTCACCAAAGGAAACAATACATTTTGAGCAAACAAATTCTGTTGGTATTTTCTTGGTATTTTACTGGATAGAATGATTTTACCACCTCATAGAGTGTGACACAGATGATCTGGACACTATCTATCTGATAGAGAGGTTATTCAGAAAACATCAATGATTTCACTCAGAAAGAAGAAAAGCCAGAAGACCTCACATGACCCTCTTGGTTATGTGATTTTCTTTTAATACAGAAAATAGGGCATTTAACTTTCACTGAAGAATTTGTCTTTCTTATGATCTCACAGAAGTATGAAGTCCTAATAGCTCATAAATTACAAGTAATTTAAACTGTTCACCAGGTTTTATCATTACTTGATATTGATAAAAACATCAATCTGTAGAATTCAGGAATCAGAAAAAAATATGTAAGTTCTAAAAAAATGTTGACTGGGCCGGCCCGGTG